TTGGGGGATAACGGGTAGTTGTGTTATAATTAGATTCATGTTTTAAATACAACAACTAATGAGTTATAGTTTAATTGAGAATACATTTGTTAATAATAATAGTGTCATGGGTTCAAATCACATTATAAAATACCTTTATTTTTTTTTTTTTTTGGTTTTCTTTCATATTCAAACTACTACCGGGAGACCAATAATCGTTTTTCTAAATTTAAAAAGTGTCTCGAGACACTCCGATTCCGCCACTAACCACCATTTTTGCATAAAATATCATACTACTAATTTTTTCTATACAATTGTAGAGTTTTTATGTTGTAAATAAGTCTACCAAAAGCGCATGACCTTCCTTCACCATGATAACAAGGAACCAGATGGAGGGTAGAAACTTAGGGGGTGTTCAAATGGTTATCGTTGTAATAACCAAACCAACTAAGTCTAAATTTCATTAACCATGGAATAAAATGTCATGAACAAACCGTCCAAATTAACACGAAAACCAAATTAACCAAACCAAAGTTAAATTGGTTTGGTTAATCGGATTAACCAAATAAAATAACATTACATGAAATCAATTTTCCTGTAAATGAATAAAACATAACCATATGTTGTTACTATCATTATATATAAGCAATAATAATAAGACTAACCATCCATGATTATCATCATCATTAGAGTTAATACATCATTCATCATCTCTGCACCTAATATAGTTAGCTTACAACAAACCCCTTAACATAAATGCATATCAATATCACTCGTCACGAAGTTAAAGCTCTCCTACAAAACACTTAAACTATAAATAGTTTGAGGTGACTGTCATGGTATTGTACGTAATCCTTAATTCTAGTAGTTGTCCAAAATATTTTGGTTTAGTAAATAGGCAGACCCATTTAATTTTTTTTACCCATAATGTTTTGGTTTGTTGTGCACATGGAAATAAATTAAGGAATCACGAAAGTTTAGATTGGTTGGGTACATGAAAGTATAAATAATTTTGTATATTAGGTGTATCATTAATTGGTTAATTGGTTTCATCGGTTAGCAGTGTTGAAACCAAACCAAACCACCTAAACCAAATAAGCTAAATTGTTTAACCAAACCAAACCAATTATACAAATTAACCAAACCAAATTAACCGAATGCTATTGGTTTAATATGGTTATCACGGTAACCAATCCGTTTGAATAGTAACCCTATAGAAACTTCACATCTTTTTTTACCTAACTAATATCCCTACCTCTGCTCTGCTTTTGTCCTCTTGTAGTGAACTGTAGATGGAGAACGAGAGAGAGAGAGAAGATGTGGGAAGTTGAGTGAAAAGGGACATTACATAAGAAGGAATAGACAATGGCTGGGCATAAATGGCAGAGAGAGCATCGCTGCCTGCATGCATGCTAATTTCCCCCCTCTGATCACTTCTCTTCTCTTCTCTTCTTTTGCTGCCTCTCCCTTAATTATTACTGATTGCTACTTTACTCTCACTCACTGTCGACTGATCATCGATCCTAGCTACTGCCTTGCCTTTTTTGAAATTGCCCACTGCTATCACACCACTTTTCCGTTGAAGAACCCTAGCTAGCTGCTGTTTCTGACTGATCAGTGCGTGCTTGTTTACCTAATACAGCTTTGCACCTAGCTAGCTTACAGCTTCGATCACTGCACACTGCTTAATTACTCTGATCCAGCCATTCCTTATTGCTTGTTCGTTGATTCTGATCTCATCGATCACCACTCTTTCAAGTCTGGTGCCTTGCATTATTTTGATGTATGTTTCCTCCCATCAGAACTCGCATGCTAGCTAGCTTCTCAGTTTCATATCATATCATGGCACTTTGCCTTCTGTAGTTAGTTTAGTAGTCTGCACTCATCAATATATGAATGGTTGGTTCCTTAACTAATACGTTACGTTACTAACCAATACATTATGGCCGGTGGATATTCCATTCAACTTTGAACTAGTGTACGAACATAAAAAAAAGTGATCTCACAATGTTTTCCAACCAAATTATCTATTATATTAGCTATGATGATAAGTTGATTCTTGATATAAAACTATATGTATTAATATTGATTCTGGATACAAAATTAGGTATTAGTTATCCGGACACAACAATTTGCACACAGTGGCGCAACCAAAAAGTCAAACAAGGAATGTCATTTAAAGAATAACAAAAAATATATAAAGAACGATCTATATAATAAAATTCATAGAAAGAAAATTAGTCTACTATAAAAAAAAATTTCCATAGATTTCTATTTCAAAGATTTCAAATTTATAAAATTTAAAACTATCAAATCTCTCATAATAACAGATTATACGTCTTGATTTTGTAGTTTTTGCCTCCTCCTTTATCTTTCCTTTTTTTATCTACCTAGTAAACACATTCATCGATTAACTATAAATATTTCTCAAGCTATTCTTCTTCTTTTTGTTTTTAGTAAACATGTCATTTATAAAAAAAAAATATAACTAATATTTTCATTAATGGTTAAATCTTTCAGTTACCAAAAAATGACCAATTGATGATTAATTTTTTTTTTACAATCCAAAAAGTTGAAATCTTTGTATTTTTTTAAAATTTTTTTAGAGATTTGAAATCCATTCTCCAAACCACCCATAAGTATTATGAAACGCATTTATAAAAAAAAACGTTATCACCTTTAAAAAAAAATTGTTAACGCTTAGATGATAATGGTAAATATTTTATTTAATTTTTTTTATAATAATATGGTATAGAAAACATCTTTTGTTATTAAAAAAATATTTTATTAATTTGGAGGCCTAGTGGTATACAAATTTATGTCCAATATTTAAAAGATTTCCAATCTCACTGGCTCACGCTATGTTTGCATCTTGAAATAAAAATTTTACCATACAATTTATTATAGTTATCTTTAGTAAATAAAAACAACAAATTTTGTAGGGTAGTTAAACTTTTTATTTGCAATCAGAATTCCATATTGGAAATTCATCTTTAAGTAGGAAAATGGTCAAAATCCACATTTTCATACCAAACTAAAACATAAAGTAAAAGTGAGGTGGAGGAAACAAACAAAATAACTAAAGTAACAAGAACTACCCTTTTTCTTTTGCGTGTCTTTAATTTTTTTTTTTTTTTTTTGGTGGTAAGAAAGGTGTCTTTAATTTCTTTTTGTTAGTTGTTGATACATTGAGAAAAAGGAGGAATTTATAAAGCAGCTGGCTTCAGTAGCATAGAAAGCAGAAACGTCCCGAAACATTGAAGTTTACATTCTTTCACCTGAACTAATCTGAAGGAAACAAACTATTTATATCTCTAATAAAAAACAAAAGTGACCTTGAACATTTAGATTATAACCAAAAAGAAAAAAAGGGGCAACCACATATCAAGAAAGCAGCTTTTGGACCTTTGGTACGTGCCCAATCTAAGAAATTAATGGCTCGTCTTTGTACATTTTCAGCCGCCTTTTGTGTAAGTACGTACGTAAGTTTGAGATCGACATAACGAATTCAAGGGGCACCCCTCTCACATACGGTAGTATATTTGGTGATTAAGGTCTTTACTCTTAATTCCTTTGTTTTCCATGAATATTATTTTGTTTGATTTATAAGTTGGCTTTGACCAATTACGTGCATGATGTGTATATGTATTGTTAATTGAAGGGATCTACTGAAAAAAATATCAGACGGTCATGTTTCGTATACTTCATTTAAAAAATGTAATAAAATCAAGCATGACAATGTGAATGAAAAAATTGAAAATGATGAATGAATTGGTAGAAGAACATACATATATATTGAACTAATTAATTGTGGGGAATACTCTCGTCCCTCAGACCCTCACATTCCAATTTTGTCATTAATTGTGCTCGCATGTCATCTTTGAGAACGTACTCCCAATGCCTGCTTGTATTCGTCGGATTAACAGTGAATTCTCAGTTACTATCAGATAGGCACAATGACATTTTTATAAATAAAATCTCGTCGCTCTAATGGTTGAGGTGTGTCCACCCTTAATCCGAAAAACACTAAATATTATAAACGCATTCTCATAAACATCCTATGAGCACCATAGTTGGGTTACTCACTTACTCTAGAGATGACAATTTGAACTTTTTCCGTCGGATATTACACAACTTGATTCGGGATGTGACGGGTATTACTCGACTCGCAGTAGCGTGGGCAGGACATGAGTATCTGCTTCCATCCCATCCTGCCCCATCCCACCCCATCCTTTGCCTATTATATATCAATTTCTTCTTATATTTAATCTTATTTTTTCTATTTTGGCCTTTTTTAAAATTAATTAGACTTAGATTTTCAACTAGTTGTACTCAATTATACCCATTTTATTATCACTATTTTACATTCATAAAGTATTTTCTTTTCGTTTTATCATAAAAACTATAAAAATTCGTGTATTGTAAGGTTGAGTCAACCCGTCCGGCCCCATACCCGCACAAATATTACTAACACTAACATACACTTGGTATAATTTTGCGTATATAAGAATTGAGCTACTCGGCTCGCCTAGGCACCCGTTCCACACTCTTTCCTTCACCTGCCTGGCCGCCTGCCAGCTGATGATCATCATCCTTCATCGGTTTCATTCTGATATCATCATTGCCTTTCTTGTTCTTTTTGGTTTGTCTCCTTTCATGAAATGAGTGAATGCATACATTGCATTTCTCTCTCTCCACATGTTTTCCGCTGTATATAAACCAAACCCCAACCGGCCCAAAACGTAACCCTCTCCCACCCAGCCAGCCAGCCCTCTCCTCTCCACCACCACCTTTTTCGATATCCCCATTATACCCCTTCAGATCCACACCCTAAAAACCAAAACCTCCTCCCACCACCTTCACCCTTTTCATGACCTTCACAAGCTGCCACAACAAACAACAACAACAAACAAACCTCTCACATGAAACCCATCAATAGCCCTTCACATCTAGCTTTCTAAAAGCTGCCTAGCTCAGCTAGCTCTCTAGTTTCCAGTATTCACCCACGCGCATCCACCACCATGGCTTCAGATCACGGCAACAAGCCACCGCTAGGAACAGCAACGACGACGTCGTCTCCATCCCCAGCACGCCAAGCGACGTCGGATCAGCAGCAGCAGCAGGTTGGGGTGGTGATCAAGTGCCCTCGCTGCGACTCCCCGAACACCAAGTTCTGCTACTACAACAACTACAGCCTGAGCCAGCCCCGCCACTTCTGCAAGACCTGCCGCCGCTACTGGACCAAAGGCGGCGCCCTCCGCAACGTCCCCATCGGCGGCGCCTCCCGCAAGTCCAAGAAGCAGCTCCAGCAGCTCAAACCCTCCTCCTCCTCCTCCTCCGCCGCCACCACTTCTTCTTCTCCCGATATCGGAGGTTTCAAATTCTTCCACCCTCCTCCTCCTCCTCCTCAGATGGACTTCAACCTCAAAGACCTCTCCCTCATGCCCAATTACAACCTCCACAATCAATTCTCTTTCGACGCCGCGGTTTCCGCTCCTCCTCCTCCGCCGTTGGGGTTCAGCCTGGAGCCTCCGACGATGACGATGATGATGACGATGCGCGGGGGAGGAGCAGGCGGGTCGATGAACGTGAACACGAGCCTGGCCTCGTCGATCGAGTCGCTGAGCTGTATGAATCAGGATCTCCACTGGAAGCTTCAGCAGCAGAGGTTGTCGACGCTTTTCGGAGACAACAACGACAACAACAGTGTCAAGGAGGATGGTGGTGGGGCCATCGGGTTGCCACGTCAGCAGCGGGAGCCGGAGAAGCCGCAGCCCATACTGTTTAGGGATCTCGGGGAGATTCGTATGGACGGCGGTAAGCCGGAGGAGGTGGTTGTTGGTGGTGGCGGTGGCGGGAAAGGAGACGGAGAGGCGGCCACCGAGTGGTTCTTTGGCAACTCCTACGGCCAGGTGGTGGGGAGTGGTGGCGGTGGTTCTGCGGCGGCGGCGGCCAGCAACAACGGTGGTGCTAACTGGAACGGTGGTGGTAATGGTGGTGGAGGTTTGCAGGCTTGGGGGGATTTGAACCCTTACGGCACCACTACTACTTCTTTACCCTAGTACGCAACGTGATGCAACGTACGTTATAGCTAGGTTTTATTGTATGTGATGATTGTGGTGATCGATAATGCATGGTGTCAATGTCTACGCAAAATTAGGTTGTGGATGCCATAGGGAAGAAGAAAAAGTTGGAGGATTGTTGAGTAATAGGGAGAGGATCGGATATTTGATTAACCCAATTGATCTTGAGTTTTATTTTTAGGGTATGAATATGTAATTTGCGCTTATTTTGGTTGGATATGTAAGTGTTGAACATCATCGTCATTCGACTTACCAATCGAAGACACTAATTAAAGTTTTTTTTTTTTTTTGTTACGTACCCAAGAAGTTCTGCAGTTACTGCATTCCTTCCTTCCCTTGTTATCATGATCAGTGAATTCATCATCAATATTGTTAGTCCTGCTTCCGGTTAAATCCCATCACATGGTGTATTTTCCCCCCATATAGAAATTGGTTGTAGCTTAATTTCGATTGCCGAAAATGAAAGCAGTACAATTCATGTGAAGTTGGGATTTGTAAACATTTGATGTGTCGTATTTTTCCTCAAACTTCGATCAATCTCTTCCCACCGACAGTTAACATGAGCTATTAGGTGTGTCGCCTTATTACTCTCTCTCTCTTCTTCGAATTCGCCATCAGACATTACCCATGGCTTCTCAGCTTCCACCGTCGCTATTGTCTCTTCAAAAATTCTCACAACTTCTAGTAAATTATAGAAAGTAGTTTCTTCCCGATTCATTTTTGCAATAAAGACATGACAATCCGCTTTTATATAATGTCGGATAGACATGACAATCCGGTTCATTTTTGCGATAAAATTTACTTAGTACCACGAATAATCCAATAAGTAAAGAGAAATCTTGAATACATAAATTCATTTGAAAAGAAAACCCAACATATATAACAATACTATTAGTCGCTCTATCCATTTAATTAATATGTACATATATATTGGTGTAAATGCTGGAGTGGGATGTGGAGCTGTATAGTGTTGTTCTTGGGATCTGCAGAAAATAGTGAAGGGGAAGGAGAAGTTTTGGAGCGTTGTTACATGGCCATATCTTTGATTTGTTTTATGTTTAGTCGCTATCCACAACTCTCACTGTATTACTCTCTCTCTCCTTGACGAGGGAGGGACAAAGAGAGTCAGAGAGAAATAAAAGGGGAGAAAGAAGTGAACTGGGTGTCTACTGTCCAGAAGCTATAGCTAGACGCCTGAAATGACAAAAAGAAATTGGATTTAAGATTAAACAAACGACAACCCATCAATCTATATGTATATATTGATTGACTTATTCATGCTAAACTAGACAGCAGCATGGATCAGTCGCTGCCTGCCAGTGCCTGCTGCAGCAATATTTGTTGGTTATTGCTACTTTCTGTTGCTGCTGCTGCTGCTGCATGTTACAGTCTTACAGACAAGTTTAGAAGCTACCCTAGCCAGCCTAAGCTAGGGGCCATGCAATAATGTTGTGTGTTTCAGAGAGCTAGATAGATAGGAAAGCCCAACTGATGATGTCTGGTGGCTAATGAGGCTGTTCAACTTGTTAGCTAGGCGAGGGGTTATGGGGATGTGTAGTTGCTGATTGGGTTCACTTTGGTGCTTGTCTGAGAAAAGAAGGCTGGGCTCTAAACTGTTTCACTTGGCGTTACTTTCCTTTTGTTGTGTTTAGGTATGGGTCAAAGATCTCTTCTTCTTCTTCTTCAACTTCTTTCTTTTTTTGTGCTCTTGATTGGTGTGTATGCATGGATAAGGTATTATCCATTGCTGGTGTGCTTTTTGTGCCCAGTGAACTGTCTAATTGCTAGGTGTTAATTCTTGAGAACACGTACATGGTGGATTGGTGGTCAAAGTAATGAATGTGATTCCGTCCGGTCCATAATTATATGATGTGTGATCTATCATGGGACAAGTTCATTAGTACGTATATAATTGATGGGTTGTTAAGTTTGATTGGTGGTGTGGTGTGGTTGGTATCATATATATATATAGATAGTGATGACTCATATACTGTAGGACTATATATATATATATATATTAGTGGTATTTTCACGGTTCCTTACGATATTTTAGCAGGGTTTAATTTTAGTAATTCTGATTTCGGGTTATTGTTTACCTACTGTACATGTTTCTGCTGTGACAGCTTGTTTTCTCTGTGACAGCGCCCACGGTAGCAATCTCGAGGAACCCCAAGTCTGATATGTTTCAATGTTTGTAGTTTGTACCCTAATACCGTCCCATCATTTAATTTCAATGCTTCTCTAAAGATTTTCATTATTAATCTACAATGTTTTTTTTTTATGTATTTACATAATATTAGATTAGCATATGTAACAATTGTGAGTTACAATCTCTGTTTTCATAATCGAACTGGAAGCTGAATCGGAAAAATTAGTGGTTTAGGGTTCGTTTTTTAACCGATACGAAACTGTTGGTTAACCGTTGATAGAAACGTTCGTGATATATATAACATGCAAACTTGTATTATATAATAATTTAAGAATGAAGTTATCATTTACCCTAAATAGTTTTAAATTCATATCATCACCTAAATATCTAATAAATTATTCAAACCTCTCACAAAAAGAAATCATAATATTTTTAATTCAAGTTAAAAATTACGGTGTCAGTCGATAGTGGACCACGTAAAGTCGACAACGAGGTTGAGAAATGAGAACAAGAAGCAGAAATAAAAATAATAGTTCTAATTTGATGGTCTTAGTTTATGTTAAACTATTTTTTTGAATAAAATTTGTAGTTAAAATAGTGGAGGTTCATCTAGTTTTATGTTGAACCTTGAAAAACCGTTCGATCAATCAATAACCGTCCAAGCAATGAAGTGGACCTCTATCATAACTGGTTTAGAGGTTCTACTGGCCCAACCATTAATTCGGTTGTACAATGCTTATTTTGTATTTACATAATATTAGTTTAGCATATGTAACAATTGCGGAACAATATTAAGTATTACACATTACGTAAAGTTTATGGTAAGATAGTTACTTCATATATATAAATTATATAAACGTATTACTTAAGTTTTCCGTAATAACTAAGATAATGCATTAAGGTTATGGACCGATGATTATTTCTTATGTATTAATTACATATTACATATTATGTATCTCTTTATAATATAATTTGAAATAAAAATTTCATTATTATTAACTAAACGGTCGGTCATCGATCTCATCAATTTGCATTATACAATTATTTTGTAAGATCGGTTATTCTTCACATAACAATTTAATTAAATGTGATAGTTTTCATAACTTTGTTATTATTATCTACAATATTCATTATCAATTTCCATTACCCCAAGGTTCTTTGGGGTAAGTTAATTTTTACATAATAGTTTAACAAAAACAATAAGGACCAAACTCAGAATTGCAAACCCTACAAAATATCGTGTCTTAACATCCCAGATGCTTAACGTATCATAATTGAGGCCATGGTTTAATGAAATGTGACACTTTCTACGACTTGATTAAATTATTATACCATAAATTATCGAAACTTTATGTAACACCCACCTGTAACATTAACGGAAATTACAAATCATTACATAAAACTTAGGGTTAATATTTTCGTATGGCCTGAACTTTGACCAAAATAAACATCCTGGCCAATCTTTTCGATCTATAACATCCTGGCCCGAACTATACACCAAAATAAACAATTTGGCCAAACCCGATGTTTGACCGTTAACTTGGACGGTCAAACGTGTTGACTAACGGTTAACGCGCCACGTCACTGCCACGTCACTGCCAAGTCAGAAGATCTGATAAATATTTAATTTTTTCGTTTTTTATTTTTGGTTTAACTAAGGTATTAGATGATTTTTTTTATTTTATAATAATTTAAAATTAGGTAATGTGTGGAAATTGTGAATTATTTTAAATATTTTATGCTGACTTGGCAGTGACATGGCATGTTGACTAACGGTCAACGCGTTTGACCGTCCAAGTTAACGGTCAAAATTCGGATCTGGCCAAATTGTTTATTTTGGTGCATAGTTCAGGCCAGGATGTTATAGATCGAAAAGATTGGCCAAGATATTTATTTTGGTCAAAGTTCAGGCCATACGAAAATATTAACCCTAAAACTTATGGATGGATTGTTATTTTTTATGTATCAATTGAATAAAATTTCTTACATAAGTCTTCTCATGCAATGAGAATGCATCATCACCATCTAAACTTCACAAGGTGTAGAGAGAGAGCATACAAGCTCTACATATTCCATCTTTGGACATTTCTCTACATATTAAAAAGTATTGCAATTCGAAAGGTTTATTTTCAGCGAATTTAGAACTCACAATTCAATGACAGCAGTTTTGAAAGAAAACGATTTATCCGGTATCCGGTATACCGGTTAAAATACCGGTAATCGACTATCCAGTATACCGGATAACTTTCGGTATCGGTATTCGGTGGCAAAATTTCAATTGTCGGTATACCGAATACCGGCTATTCGATATCCGGTATACCGGATACCGACCGATTACCACCACAGTTTGGTTGCTTAAGGATTTGGCCCAGGGGGAACGGTTGCAGGCGTTGGTGTTTTTGCCTATTGCTTAAGGAGTTGGCCCAGGGGGAACGGTTGCAGGCGTTGGTGTTTTTGCCTCAACCAAACTGTGGTGGTGGTTGACGGTCCTGTCGAAGCTTCCAGCGGCGATGGGAACACCAATAGATGTCTCATCTTTGAGCTAGGGTTTGGGAAATTAATGTGCAGGGCTTAAATTTGGGCCTGATTTTGTTTCGGGTTTTGTTTTTGGGCCTTAGGTTTTAATTTTCTGATCCTTGTTGGGTGATGTTTGTGGATCTCTTCATTGGGCTTGCCCTTTTACCATCTTAATGAATCCATTTAAAAAAAAAACTAAACAAACATATTGCACAAAAACTACAATATAAATTTGAATATAAATTTCTTTCTTATTAATTAAACGGTTGATCATCTCTTCAATGTTCATTACACAAAGGTTCTATAAGGTCAAATATTTTTTACACAATAGTATAGTAACTAAATTATTTTATTATAATTTGAATAATCTTTTTTTTACCTTTAATCAAATGTTGTATTATTGAGTAACTTTGATTTTGTTATTAGACCACATTGCACGCGGTCTGGATGATGCCACATCACCGATGGAAAGCATATAAGTGGCACTACTGCTCGAAATGTCTCAGATTGTATCACACTACCTCTGAGATGAAGTGCACTCTCACGGTAAGGTTGCCACTACATAAAAATAAATTTAACGTTATTATCCCTAAATCTAAAAAAATAAAACAAATGAAAACTATTCTATAAAATAGAATGTTATATACTAACCACCACGGTGTCCATCGCGTCAAACCACAGCTTGTACTGGAATAGCTGGTCACCATACTGACGACTGTTGGCCAAAAGCCATCGAAGACCACGTGGGGATGCATCCTCGGTGGCCTGTGCCCTCGTCTCTGAATCTCGAGGTGCCAGATGTGGGAATCGCTCCCACGCCCAGAACTGTAGTAGGGCGACCCATCCACCAAGGTCACCGCAGAGAAGTGTCGGTATGCGTAATGTGCAAAGTCGACCTACCCATCTCACGGTACAGGTAGGATAAAACAGCAGCTCCCCAGGCGAACCGTCCAGCTCTCTGCCAATCCTCAATCAGAAGTAGGTACTATAGGTGCACCGTAGCTCCAGACCGATCCGGGAAAAGTACACCTCCAATCAGAGATAGAGCATAAGCTCGTGTAAACTGCTCTATAACCTCCTGTGATGCATTTTCCGACAGATGACTGAATTCAACCCTCAGCCAAACAATCCTAACAACAGCGACACCGCCTACAAGATCAGCCGAAACCCGTCCTAACAGTCTTAAACAGATCGTCGACCACTCCTCATCCGGTATATCAATTACGACGGCATCACCGTCGATCGCCAGACCGGACAGTGTAACAACGTCCTCTAACGTGATCGTGATCTACCACACGGTAGATGGAAGGTCGACGTCTCGGGTCGCCACCGCTCTACGAGCGCAGTAATCAAACCCGCATCGGGGTTCATAGGGACTAGGGGCACGACACTTAACAAGCCTGCCGCTTCGAGATATGGCCGATAAAGCTCATGGTAAGGTACTAAAATGGTCGTACATCGAACATGATAAGATCGATCACCAGCCTATAGTGCACAAAACTTATATTAATTGATTTTCATTCGTAATAATTCTAATTTCACCTAATAAATTCTAATCTGTCTAATCTAATATCAAATTATACTAATTTCAAAAAATTTGATACGTAATCCTATTCTAACAGTACAGTTCAGTTCACCAACTAAAATAATCTAATTAGCTAATTAACTTTACATGAATAATTATCAAATACTTACCTCATTTGTCCAAACAGAGTCGATACGATGTTGGCCATGTCCCCAAAGAAGTGTCGGATCGACCGGACCTGGATCAATTGTCGTCGGCGGTAATCTCATCGAATAAGGATAGGAACTGCAAAAACAAAGCAACAAAACATTAAAAAAACACAAAACATTAAAAAAAAAATCAAGCCGCCGACGAGAGTCTCACCGCGCAAACGGCCGCCACGACCTCGCCGACCTCTCCCCCTGCCTCTGCCGGCGGCGACTGGTTCTTCGTCGGAGGACATCTCGGGTGGTGGCGCTTTCTGTCAGCAGTGGCGGCGCTTCACTCTCCAGCGGCGGCGCTCCACTCGGCAGCGGCGGCGCCTGACTCTACGGCGTCGGCTGCTCTGCTTCTCTGGTTCGCGGTGTGGGGGGTGTGTGTGGTGCGGAGGAGGGAAGAAGAGGAAGGAAGAAGAAGAGGAAGGAAGAAGAAGAGGAGATAAGGTGGGAGGGGCCCGAGGGTTCGGCAATTTAAAAAAACAAGGGTGAGGCGGGTGCGCCGGAGACTCGGGCGCAAGCGCCCAGAACTGGGTAAAACAGTGGCCCCGCCTGAGTCTCTGGTGGTCCCGCCCCAAACTTTACTAAAAACACAATATTTGTGTCAATTCTTTTTAATCCGCTATATTTGTGGCAATTAAAAAAAACACAATATTTGTGTCATTTACCCTCTTAGTTTGGAAAGAACATGGTTCGAATCCCGATATTAATGTATTTTTTATAAATAAAAAATAAATAATGATTATGAAACACAATTACCCTTCCTACTTTAATATATTTGTAGAGTTAAATGTAGAAAAACATTTTTTTGGGTAAATACAATTTAATAGCCAAACATTTTCGCTTTATACAATATAATAACCAAATCTTTTCGAAAACAATTTAATAGCCAAACCGTTAACTTTCCGTCCGGTTGACTGTTAGTTGACTTCGATGTGGCATAACTTTAAGTGAACTGCATGGTTTTTACTGATGTGGCATGAAGTCAAACATTTGACTTTGCCATGTAGATATATATATGAATTTTAACTAATTATATTTTTAATAAAAAAATTTACCAACTAGTACTCTATTATCCCTTCCACTCCATCTTCTCCATCCATAGGTCTTCCTTTAAAATAAATTCCTCATTGCTACCTGCAGGGGATCCAAAACCAAGAAACTAAAATTAACAATATCAATGAAGAACACAGGGAACCAAAGAACCATGCGGTGATGATTCTCCCACTTCCTCTGAAAAGGGCCTCACGGGTCACGGCTCGGGCTCCCGGAGACCTCGTGACGGAGCAAGTTCCCCTACCAGTAGTCGTCGCCGCTGGTTTTCGCGAGAGGGTAGGAGGAAGCGCGGTGGGGTGACGAGGAGAGAAACCCCCAAATCTCACCAATCTAACTTCCCTTGATTCGACTCCAAATCAGAGACAGAGCAAGTGAGAGGCCAACATCACCATCTAGCACCGGTCGCTCCTGACTCCAGATCCAAAACCCCTCTTCTATCTCCATTGGCAGGGACCAAAAGGGTTGGGAGAGTACTTACAAAGGCGGGAGGAGTACAAATCGTCTTCTTCGTCGTCGTTTATCGATGTGTTTGCGGAGAAATTCGATGAGTTGCAGACTTGCAGGTGTTGGGCGGGGAGAGGCTGGAGATGAAGCTGGAGACGGAGGAGGAGGAATCAACTTCTAAGCTTTTACTGACATTCCGGTGAATGCGACTGGGTCGGAAGTGCCTTCGTCGGTGGAGAACGAGATTGGTTTTGGGGAAGGTCGGATTCTAGGTCAAAGGGTTCGGTTATTTTTTTATTTTTTGAATAATAAATATTATTTAAAACTATATGTGGCATGGTCAAAAATTGGGTTTTTTTCCACATCAGCATGAATTAACACGTCAGAATCAACTAACGGTCAACTGGATGGAAAGTTAACGGATTGACTATTATTTTATTTTTTGAAAGGTTTGGTTTTTTTTTTTTTGCCATAGATAGATTGTAAATAGATAGGGTATTACAATTCTTGAAAGTAAAAGCGGTAGTCAACCTAGTGTTGAGCTACCGATGCAAGAGCCGTTTTTGCCAAGGGTTGGTTATTATTTTGTTTAAATTGAAAGGTTTGGCTATTAAATTGTATTTTTTTTTGGGAAAGATGTAGAAAAACGTTGGTTAATGGTTATGTGTTTACCAAATTATTCTTTAATTAATTTTAACAATCCGATTAAATTTTAATCCTACGGCTAAAACCGCATTTAGCACCTAATTATCCGACTCCCCATCCACTTTTCCACTCCATCTCTGGCCACACTTTCCTCGTCGCCACCCCAATTCCCTTTGCCGCCGAGGTCAGAATCATCTACCACCGTCGCCGCCCAACTCCCTCCGCCGCCGCCAAGCTCCCTCCACTCGCCGGGTCGCCCTCTCCCACCGTTTCCCTTCCACTCCTAGGCCCTCGCCGCTTGTATGTGGTTGTTGGCCATCAAATCAGTCGACGTAGCGGCGGTAGAGAGGCGGAATGCTCCCGTCGGCGATGGTCCCTCCTCCGCTCATGCCGCCACTGGATGGATCGGAGGCCGGTAAAGCTCCGGGCGAAGACATATGGAGTGATAGCTGCAGCCGTCTGGGAGCAGTGAGAGAGAATGGGTGGTCGGATGCTAGCGCCGAGAGGGGAGAGGCTAGAGGTGAGCGCCGAGAGATTTCGGCAGCGCGCGTTCTTTCGTTGATTTCCTTATACAAGTCGGAAAGAGCACATCCGAATCCTTTCTGAACTCAAAATACCCCAAAGCATAGGCCCTACGGATCGATTAGGTCATAAATAAGCATTGGTACTCTGTATTTTAGCAACATATCGCAGCAGCAGCAGCGGATTATGCATCGTCGACAGAAGAATAATCGGCGGGAGCCGCCGGTTCTACGACCAGAGCCATGGCTGGTATACTCCCATGGGAAGCAGAAGCAGTCACAAACATTCTACAGCTTGTCGGAACGAAGTTGCCTGGTGAGAAATATCCCTAAGATGCGAAATCGAACCGTCTGGGCACATTGCCAAGGCTGGTTAGCGCTTGTCGATGTCGATCATAACCATTGTTCATTGTTTAACCCTGTCACCATGGAGGAGGTTCACTTACCCAGATTCCCATTTACTGCCAAGAGCATCGACCATTGTGCACTTTCCTCTCCTCCTACTGGTGCTAATAATTGCCTGCTCATGTGTATCGAATATTGTCAACGAAGAAAGCAGAGTTCTTTTCACTTCTGTAAGCCAGGGGATAAAGATTGGACGACACAGCTGGTGGAGCCGCAACAAGGTCAATGTTGGTGCGAAGTGTATCCCCATCTCCACCGTTTCAGAAACACCGTCAGCTTCAATGGCGAGTTTTATGTTGTTTCCATATGCTGTAAAGGCCTCTTCAAGGTTCAGTTGGCAATTGACCAACTTGGTTCTAACAATGTCTCAATGGAGTTACTTGATATGAAGTTAAGGGGACAGCGGTCTCACTTCGTTAGGAGCACTATGATGAGCTCTTCGTTCATGGTTCAGGCCTCACCTACTGAACTAATGACGGTTAAGCTATACTACGGGGACAATAGAGACACTGACTGCAGCTACAAGGTTCGTAGGGTCGAGGGCTTCCAGACTGGTGTCAAGCGACTGGACTTGTATAAGGCCAATTTCCTGGAAGAAAAATGGGAACGCGTGGAGACGTTGCCCGAAGACACTGCCATCTTCTTAGGCTCCCGTAGCGATAATGCCGTCTCTTATAAAATTCCAAGAAGACAAGACTTAGTTGTGGGAGGAGGAGGTGTTCGTGGGAACACGGTGTACTTTACACCACCAACGAATGACGGGTATCTTTACGCGTATGACGTTGGAGACAGAAGTATAAGCGTCTCTTTACCATGTTCTAAAGCTAACAGACCTGATTATTCTGAACCGCATTGGATTATTCCCCTTGGTTGCTCATCTTCTACGGATGATCCTCAACCGGAATTCGACATCTCGCCTGATGAGATTGGCAGCGAGCAGATTATTCTCTCGACGGGCAACGACGATAGCAGTACTGATCATGATGGACGACATTGGTCGTACGACATTCCAAGTGAGCTTCTTTCCGATGTACAATCTCGCTTATTTGGAGCCGATCGTTGCTTTTTTCGTCTCGCTTGCAAAACGTGGAATTCGATATTTTCCAGTGTTGTCTCTACATCGTCAAACGTTCGATTTGCGAGGAATCATTCTTTCCCAATCCTCGTACATAAAGGATTGGATGGGGAGGTAGTCAGCTTATTCAACCCAATCACCAGTGTAACTAGTATCTTGTCTTTAGAGGCTTCGAGTCTGAGAGGCGCAGTCATTCGCTGCTCCAAACACGGATGGTTGCTTATGTCACAAGGACTTGGGGGTGATCAACATCGACTATTCTTTTTCAATCCTTTTACCGAAGACAGGATCAACCTTCCTATGCTGTCGTATGACCTTGAAGGGATTACATTCTCGTCGTCTTCGCCGACATCCTTTGACTGCCTGGTTATTTGCTACACTGCTTTGTGGCAGCAAGTGGTGATATCCTTTATTTATCGAGGGGAGCACCAGTGGACTCAATATGAGGTCATGAGCGACAGTAGTAATTTCATGAGCCCTTTCAGTAATCCAATTTACCACAAAGGATTGCTATATTTTATGGGGAAGAACGCAGATCTTTGCATTCATGACTTTGAACAAAAAACCACCATTACGATAGAGCTTCCTAATAGATCTTGTACGTCGGTACAAAGAAGCTATCTGTTGGAGTGCAATGGGAAGCTTTTGTCCGTGTTGATGGGCCACATGGGGAAAGTTCTCGAGGTATATGCACTCGATCAAGAAGCCATTACTTGGAAAGAACTGGATAACCTCGAAGACAATATGCTGTTTGTGAGCGCTGCATCTGCATTATCAGCAACAAACAGTGGAGAGAAGATTTCTGGCTTGGGAAACAAGGTGTTTCTTGACAGGTTTAAGGACAAGGATGGCGTGTTTTATTCTCTGGCAACAAGAAAGTTCCATACCTTTTGGAGCGGATACAACAATGATGATTGGTGCAACACCAAAGAATATATCAATTGTGCATGGATAGAACCAAGCTTCAAAACGCACACGAAAGATGAGCTTCAATGGTAACGGTTTGATCTGTAGTTCTTGTGGAGGAAATATAAAGCGATTGAAATTCATCCATAACCTGTAAATGTGATATTTATAGTAAAACTCTTTTGCTTTTTGGCTTTTGTCACGATTTGGAACAATCAATTGAGCTATTTTAAATATCTTTCATGATTCCCACTACAGTTTATTGAGCCTGTGGCTGTTCTCTGGCTTCCTTTCCCTCTTTAATTTCTTTAGCTTTGGTTTCCTATTTCTTAATGTAGTTGGGGTGTGCCTGGCTGAACTATTTTCATGACTGGCAATAGGGCTGTTTTCATTTCTCATTTGGTCAATTCCTTACAGATCTTTGCACCCACGTCAGTTTATCGAGCTTGTTTCAGTTCTCATGCTAATACTTTGGTTTCATTTCCCTTTTTAATTTCTCTTACTTTCCTTAACTATTTCTTGACGCAGTTGGGGTTTGCCTAGGTAATTTATTTTCTTGTGTGGCAGTTGTGTGTTTGGTTGATTATAATCCTCTACTTCTGGCAACCCTAACTTAGGAGTCCATGCTTAATTTATTTATTGCATATATATGTGTGTGTGGTGTTATGAATATTGGGAAGGAATCCATCTCACACTTGTTTGGCCCTTTGAGTTAGGATTGGTTGATATTTTGCCGTTTTTTATTTGTTGCGTACCCAATTCCCATCATCCTGTACTTTTGTTTGGCCCTTTGAGTTAGGAATCCATCTCACACTTCTTACATGTCTGGCCTGGTTTTACTGTCCACCAATTCCCATCATCCTGTACTCATTTGGTGTCAATATTCTTTTGGGGGAAGGCTTGAATGGTGTTTTCTATTTGTTTCGTTGCAGTGACCTTTATTTTATTCCTTCAGCGGCAGTAGGGGAGTTATCATTTCTCGGGTTCTTGGTGGTCTTGTATTCCGTGGGTTGATTGTCTTATACGGGTCTTCTTGTTACTTTGATTTGGTTCTTCGGATTTACCTTGTTGAGTATCTTGACGTCTCTGAAGGATTATCTTAACGCATCTGTTGAACTGCTTGTCAAAGGTCGCCCAATGCCCATCTCTGCTTCGGCTAGAGAGTAGAGACTACTCTTAACTCTCAGGCTGTTGTGGGAAAGCCCAGTGAAGGAAGAAGGAAGGTTTGGTCTTACTCTCAGTCTATTGTTGGCGCCGGGTTTTTCTGGTTTAGGGGAGTCGAGGGACTAGAGGAAGACGGAAGGCTTGGTCTGTGGAAGAGAATGGTTGGGACTTGGGAGTTGTAGGTTTTAATTTTTAATTAATTGGGTTAGAAACATAAAATAATTAAACTAAAATTAGGAGTTTAGGAGTAAATGACGGAAGGCTGATCGATCCGCCCACAGCCACAGGTCTCTACCCGATCCTTGATGACGACGTCTATAGGTGTCAAAACATAGCCCGACCCGATTAACCCGCCCGATCCACCCGATCCGCAACCCGACCGCAATCCGAATTGACTAAAAGTTAACAACCCGTAACCCGATTGACCTGCAACCCGATTGACCTGCAACCCAACTAACCCGCAACCCGACTGACCCGCAACCCGATTAATCTGAACCCGATTGACCCGCAACCCGACTGACTCGCAACCCGATTAACTCGAACTCGATTGACCCGAATCTGACTAACCGCAACCCGACCGACTCAACCCGAATTTCATCTAATCCACTTGAATAATTATAAAAATATACAATACATAGTTTTTCAAAATAAAGTTTTTCATTCTAAACTTAAGTAAAATTATTTTTTTCGTTTCGTATAGGAAATTTAAAAAATATGAAACTCACTTGATCAAGTACGTATTTTAAGAAAATTACAAAAATTGAAACATGAAGGTCACTTGAGATCATGACAATATTCATTTAATATATAAATTAAAATTTTGGTTAATTTAACTATTCAATAAAATTATCAATTAAATATAAATAAAGTAAAGTAATGTATTTGGTAATTTGATGTTTTTAAATGAAGAGGGAAATTTTGGTGTATTCAAGTTTTTGGGAAGAGAAAGAAGAGGGAGAATTTTTTAGAAAAGAAACAAGTGGGAATTTTGGTGGTTTTGATATGTGGGGAGAGAAAGAAGTGGGAAAATTTGATTCTTTTGATTATGAAAGAGAAATAAGGAGGGAAACTTTTGAGTTTTCAACTTTTTGTAGAAGGAAAGAAGAGGGTAATTTGGTTCTTTCAATTTTATGGAAGAGAAAGAGGAGGGAAAATTGAGTTTTCTAATGTATGGAAGTAGAAAGAAGGAGAGAAATTTTAGTATTTTTTTGAAAAGAAAGAAGGAAACAAATTTGGTGTTTTCAATTTTTTGGTTTTCCATAATTTTAGCTTTTGACATATGAATCTTTAACTTTTATATGGAGGGCATGACTAGTTAAAATTATTCTTATATGCTTTGAAGGCTAATATATATATATGTATGTAATTGTTTATGGACTAATAAATAAATTAACCATTAGTTACAACAATTTATACTAAACTTGATAAGTAATCTTTGACGGTTCGTTGTTTAGGATATAAAGTATATGGTTAGGGTATAGGGTATAAGGTACATATGGTTTAGGGTGTATATGGTAAGGGTATAAGATATTGATGGTTTTGACGTTTCCAAGTTTTTTGATTAACATATGTTCACTTGAAGTCATTTGAAGTCTTTAACGGCAGGAGATCCCTTTTTAATTTATGTTTATGGTACGTGGTTAGGATACAAGGTATGTGGTGTAAAGTAAAGGATATATGGTTAGGGTATAACAATTAGCAAATATCACTTTTTATCTATGTTTTGAAAATCAAAGTATGAATTTCACTTTTAAATTAACTATACTAGCAAAATCGCAACTCAAAGAAATATGGTTAGGGTATAGGGTATAGGTTATGTGGTTAGTGTATAATGTATTGATGGTTTAGGGTATACAATCAACAACATATACTAACTTAATAATGTTTATTGAGGGTAAGGCCAAGTGTATAGGATATATGCTATTGAGTAAGTTATGATTGAAGTCACAATAATTTTACTAAATTTGATAGCTAATCTTTAATGGTTCAATTTTTAGGATAATTCTAACAATTTTACAAATAACTCGTTTGGCAACAGTTTACTGAAGTTATTTGGGCAATTAGTTATTTCGAAATAACTTCTTTTATCACTATGTTTTTGCCAAATAACACACGCCAAATACCAGATTTGCATGGTTATATTAAACGAGATACTTTAATCCAATTACTACTGAATTAATACTAAAATATCAAATAAACAATTAATGGTGTCTTTTGGTTGCAAATATTGATATCACCATTACTATTAGCTATAATACTTTACCAATTATGATTAATTACATAACAAGTTTGCAAGTCATAGAAATTGATTTAACATTTTGACTAGTTTTTTTCAAAAAAATAAAGTATATATATACGAGGTAGAAATAAATTGGTTAAAAAGTTGAGAAAATATTTTAAATTAGTGTAATAAAATGTGTAAGTTGGTAATGAGTAATGAGTTAAGTTACTTGATGCGCTGGCCCGAACAACCCGAAACCCGATTCGGCCGCAACCCGCCCGACCCAAAACCCGATGAACCCGCAACCCGATTTGCCCGCAACCCGATTGAACCCGAACCCGATGAACCCGCAACCTGACTCACCCGCAACCCATTTGAACCCGAACCCGATGAACCCGAACCCGATGAACCCGCAACCCGATTAACCCGCAACCCGTTTGAACCCGAACCCGATTGAACCCGCCCGAACCCGCCCGATTGACACCTATAATGACGTCCGAGGTATCACCCTTCCTAGAAATGTTGTAGTGTCGTCCTCTTCTTCTACTCCTACCCTGTAACTTGCTTCTGTTTCTTCGGCTTTATGCCTCCTTCTCAGCAAAAAAAAAATAATAATAATAATTAGACATGAGTGTATATTTGATACGTTTTAATATTAGTCTATTAAAAGGGTTTGTTTGTGCAAAATTTTATAGAGGGGTACCATTGTTAATTTGCAATAGTAGAAGGGTAAAAAATGCTATTAGCCCTTGATTAAATTGATAGATAGAGCCAACTTGTTTGATTAGAAACTCCGACTAGGATCCCGCCATAGGTAACCACCAAGACCAGTCTCCAATGCCTTCCCCACGACGAGGGAGAAAAGTCGGCGGCGGCAAGGAAGATGCTCCTTCTACGAGCAAACCACCACCACCGTAGATCGTATATATGGTCTGGTCTGGACCAGACCGCACCGTTTCCCAGCACTAGCAGTTTTGATGGGTAGTAGTGATTTTAGGATTTTTAACGGAATTTTGGGGTTTTATAGAACTGTCTTTCCGAATTAATTGTTATTACTTATTAGTAGTGATTTAGGAAATTTCTAGTAGAAATTTAAGTCTCATCAATAGTCGTTTAGGAATTTTCTAGTAGTGATTTAATTGTAATCAGTAGTGATTTTGCAATTTACTTGTATAGTTGTACTGTTTTATATTCCATGTGTAGCGATTTATATCTCCTGTGTACCGATTAAAATATCATAAAATCTCAATCAGATCTGTAAAATCGCTACTATTATATTATTAATAATAATTACCACAAATATGAAAACAATACTAAAAATATGGAAAATTACTATTTCATATCTATAACAATTCTCAACACCACTATAGATCTGATTGTGAAATCTAGAAATCTGCCAACGTCGAGAAATGCTAGGGTGGAGGAGATCGATGCGGTAGTGTAACATCGGCCAATTGTCAATTGTGATGGTTGAAAGAGATGCGATAGCATGACGGTGACGTTGTCGAGGTAGATCTGGTAATCGACAATGAATCTCGCGCGATGGCGGCCTTCCTTGGGACGGATCTGGGATTAGTGGACGGCGAGGAGGGAGGATGGCGTTGACGGCGACGTTCCTCAGTAGTTCAGGTGGCCACCCTCGGTATCAGCTAACGAAGAGGCGGAAGCGGTGGCACGACGAAGGCGAGTCTGCAGGTGATGGCGATGT